ATAGAGACAGTGCTGGAACAGCATAGCCTCATGTGAATGCCAAAATGGACTGGCCATCTGCCCTCCCTCTGGGCTGGACCTTGCCCCAGCCATCTGTCCCACTGATCAGGATGAAGACAGAAAGCAAAAGAGACCTCATTGAGAAGTGAGGAAACACTGACCAAAAAATGCCTCCTTGGCAGCAAAATGACAATAAACTCCCCGCATTCCCAGAGGTTCCTTTGGTTTCCCTTTAGTCATGGCGCTCCTCCTACTCCTCACGTCAGTCAGGATGCTATCTGGCTTCATTAACAGTTACCACCATATCATAGAACCTTAAATAATAGATGTTTAATACTCTCCCGGATCAAAGAATCCTAGGGTTAGACATTTGGTTGCTCTATGAAGTCCTCAGGGACCCAGGTTCTTTCTAGATCTCTCCTCCACCATGGCTAGAATATAGTTCTTGCCCTCATGGTTCAATAGATCTGCAGGTCCTCCAGCCATTATTTCCACATTCATACAAACTGTGGACGAGAATGAAGGGAAAGAGAAGGACATGCCAGGGAGTCTCGTGTATCATTCCCCTTATATTTGAGCAGAACCTAGTCACAAAACCACTCCATATTTGTCTGTTACCCTATTGCTGCACAACATCCAACCACAAAATTTTTATGATGTACAACATTAACATTAAGCTTTTTTTTCTGATTGACGCATGGAAAGAATTAATATTGTTAAAATGTCCAGACTAGTCAACATCACTAAGCATTTATTCTCACATATCTGCAGGTTGGCTAGGGTTCAGCTCATCCAGGCTGGTGTCGATGGGCAGTTCTGCTTCAGGCTCTAGAGACAGGGCTGATTCTACTGCTCACTGCTGGTCTGTGTTTCAGTTGAGTGACTCTGTCCATCTGCCTTTTATCTTCCTTGAGCCAACAGACGAGCCAGGATGTATTTTCCTTAAAGCTCAAAGAGACACCAAAGAGCATGTGGAAATAGGTGAGGCCGGTTGAGATCTAGACACCACACTGGCTCACTGCCACTTCTGCTCACAAGCACAGGCGCATGACCAAGCTCAAAGTCAAGGGGAGGTAGAACAATTTGCCTATGAGGACATAGCAAGAGAATGATCTGGATCGGCTAAGGAAATGGAATCAGATCTATCTACCATATCTGGCTACCAGGGTCCCTGGAAATGTCATGTTTGGGTAGAATGGCTAAAATCAGAGATGTGACCAAACAGGGCAAAATCCGGGGCAGTTATCCATTTCTCCCACACTGCCTTGCATTACACCAACTCTGTGAAATAGCAATATCTGCCACGAGTCACTTCTTACCCTTCACCTCTGTGAAAAGAGTTAACAGCCACTCACCAGAAGGCAAGAGGGGTGCACACCAAGATTGGCAAGGTCCTGTACTTACCTATCAAGGTTCTCCATTTTGGAGCAGGTGAGGCAGGGTGGTTTTTTTCATATGGGCTCTCTCAGAGCCCTAAGCCAGAAAAAAAAATAAAATCCATGCAATTTTAGAAGTTAGGGCCCAAGCCTGTCTCGGCGGTGTCTCTCTCTAGAACAGCATCAATGAGAACCACCCGATAGAAACAGCAGGCAGCCCGGAGGAAAATCGTGCAAATCAATACCCCCCATAAATAATCACAGAATCCCTCAGCCTATTTTCTGATGGAGAGGAGAGACAGAAGGAACCAAGTTATGGTGTGACAATATCTGGGCTGTCCCTAAGGCTGCTGAGCCCTCCTCCAAGGTCCTACATGCACCACACCTCCCTGGGACTCCCAGATTCTGCCGTGATCCAGCAACTAACATGGCAGCACCTGCCATGGCAAGAGTACCAGGATGGTGGTCCTCCTCACTGCCTTGTCCGTTCCTATTGACTGATGTCCTATTCACAGTGACTGCTCCAATTTTACAGTATGACTTCCTATGTCCTCAGTCAAAGGAGTCAGAAGGGAGACTTCTACCCAAAGACCTTTAGATGTGTGACTCAGTATCTTGGAATTCGCTCCAAATGTTTTCAAAGAGCAGGTTTTGTATGCAGTCAAATCAGTGGCCTTTCCACAAATCTCCCCCAACTCCAGCTTCTTGACACTGTGACCAGTTAACTTTCCAGACAGGTAGAACTGATTCTTAACAGTACATAGCCAATGTGTATATGAGGAGCTACTGTTCAGAAAACAATTTCACCTACAAATTCTAATTCAATCTTTATAACAACTGTGTGAAATGTGTATAATTATTCCAATTTTACAAAGGAAAAAAACTGAGGTTATATTAATAAGGAAAAAGCTGGCACTTGGACCCATTACAGTGCTTTGACTCTGGCAGCGAAGAGGCCTCTGACAGGAGATACGAATCGGTGCTTCTGTGGCCTTCAAGGCTCCCTGTGGCCTGCCATGTAATATCTGAGCTCTAGGTTGCCACCAAAGGCACTTGATTGATAGTCTTAAGCTACATTTTCAGCTTTAGTTCTTAATTCTCATCAGCATATATGACACTTTCCAAATTCATCCTTCGTTCATTCTTGAAATGATCTGCCTCACACCATGCTGCCATTCTTCAGGAAAACCGTTCTACTACCCCACACTAATGTTCAAAGTCCTCCCTGTGTCCCAGTGCCTATTTCATGACATCCTGGACTAATCCACAGCCAGAGGGAATTTCTCCCTCTGCTCCCCTTCAATATGACAAGCCCCCGCCCCCATCATCAGTCCTTCTGTGGCTCCTAGCACTTTCCACCATGTTATAGCAATGTACATGTAGGTCACTGTGAATAAACCTGAGGTAGGGACCTAGTCTTACTCATGTTTCCTTCACATTATAACATGAAGCCCTGTTCCTTGTACACAGCCAATACTCAATTTTTGTTTATTCAGTTTAAAAATGCATTGTTGAGCATCTATTATGTGACAAACTGTTAGGTGCTAGAAACACATTAAATAATTAAGATATTGACTATAATGTGAAAATACATGAATGAATTTGACTGACAAAATTGTGATTCTGTTCCAGACATTTATTTTTTCTTAATTCTACTAGTGTTGGTAGGAAGAAGTTTTCTGGGAAAAGAAATGGGTATGTGTTAAATTACCTGTAATATCAAAATTCTTTTAGAGCTACAAACTACACTAAAAGGCAAGAAAAAAAAGTGACCCAAACCACACACAGGGTCTCTGGTTTACACAGTGGAATGTGTAAACAGAGGAGTAAATCCAATTTTTGTAAAGTCAGGCCATTTCAATGGCTCTAAAGGAGTTTTCTATTGTAACAGGCCCTCATTGTGAATTCTTAAGATGGCACTACTCACCCCAGGCACATCTCTTTGTTAATCCAATTCCCACTAAATAGACTATTATGACAGAGTTCATGTCTCAGAAATGCTGGAATAAATGACCTGGGAATTCCACCCCACTGTGAGATTCTGAATCTCTGGTTGCAGGAGAGACATCTAGGCGTAGGAGGAGAAGCATAAACAAAGGCAGAGAACCCTTCAAGGGAGTAAAAGAAAGCTGGAAAAGAAAATGCAGCCAAGTCCAAGGGCAGGAATAGTTGCCAATCAAATGGAAATGGTTGAAAGACTGGACGGAGGAAGCCAGGTTTGTTCTCAGAGCAGAGAGCACATGAGCACCTTCCAGACAGATCCTCCTACCCCTTCTTCCTTACAGCACAGAGTAGGTTTCTCCTGCCATGGATGTGTGACCTCTAAGCTTCCACATTTATCCTTATCCCCATTTCGGGAAAAAAAAATCCCCATTTAGTTCAAAAGATTACAAAACCACAACAGAGCATTTCCAACTGAAATTCCATGGTATCCAATATCTGCTTTGAAATATTCCAGAGAAATGCCATTCAGGGAGGGAAAAAGAAAAAAAATAAAAACTGGGTACGAGTTGACAACATTATTAGGATTCTCTCCAGTTTTATGTATGTATGAGAATTTTCAGACTAAAAAGTTTTTAAAAAAAAAATGAGCCAAGAAACTCAGGAAAAAGACAGAGAGTGATGAGCTAGCACCAAGTTCTGATCCCACAGAACAAGGCTTCTTCCTGCCAGCGGACCCTTGCTGGGAAGATAAGACATGACACAGGATGTGGTATTTGCTTTTCTGTGCACCTGCTGAAGTACAGTTTGATGGCCCATCCTTGTGTGTGAGTAATTATTACCACAAGACTCTCCTAGACTGGGGCTTGACCACAGGTTGGACATCTTGCTCTCAGCATGCAGCAGCTATGAGGGCTTTCCGTTCCCACTGAGGCTGGCCCAGATCAACCCTCAGCCATCTAACACTGAAGTGGAAATCGGAGGCAGAGCATATGGATGTTATGTTCATTTGAGGACAGAGTTAGGCTTCTGTGTTGACATGATCAGATGAGAGAGGTCATGACACAGGACCACAAGGCCCCATCTCCAGGCAGAGAACATGAGGATCCCACCCAATTAAAAGGAGAGAAATGGCATTTGTTCATTGGTTTGACGATTTAATATGGGTAGTCTTTCTACCAGGCTCTGAGTTCCTTGAGATCTGGGACTGTTTTATTCAATTTTGCCTGGGGCCTAGCACTATGTAGGAGCTATGTAGATGTTTGCTAAATTGAAATAAAGCTGAATTGAAAACTGACAAAAATAATCATCAAAACACAAGGCCCAGTCCTTCTGTTCAGATCTCAGATCTACTCACATTCCCATTTCTCTCTCACTGTTCCCTTCTCTTCCCTCCTCCCCCTCTCCTCTCTCTCATTTTCTTGCTTTCTTCCCCATGAGGAGTAATTAATAATTCAGCAAACAATAGTGCATTCTGATGGTTAAGAATATAACAATTTAATTGATATTTGTTTCTGTAGCAGCACAACAATCTCTCATTTTCCCAGGAGGGCAATTTTCCACGGCTGTTCCAGGTTTTGCACAATAAAATAGATCAATCCTGGGGATACCTGAAGCCCTTCTGTTAAGGAAAAAAAAAATGTGGTGGGTAAGGGTTTTGTAACAGACACAATACCGCAATCATCATGTTTTAAACACTGACATTTATTTAGGGTTTTTGGACTCATACATTATTAGGATAAATTCTAATTTATATCAGTATATAATAGGCAAATATATAATACAATAAATTGCATTTGTACACATAAATACAAAATTTGAGGTAGGGCCTCAAGAATAATGACTTCTTAAATGAATAATGCACAGTATATAATATGTACTCTATAAGATATATATATATATATGATGCATCATTTGTAACATAATATATTTTCTTCATGTACAGTTAATGAAAAAATAGAAGGACCTGATTAGGGAACATATCTTTATTCATGGGCAACAGTACCCACATAAGATGCTTGCATTTAGGACATTATCCAAGTACACAATTTAAGAATTCACCTCTTCCTTGATAGGTCCATAATAAAGTGCAAAAAAAGACCAACAAATGAGAGACAAACAGTTTCTAGTCAATTACTACGTATCACCCTCACAATAAAATACACCTATAAGGCAAATGGTTACCTGAAGATGTATTTCATCCAGGGCAGGCAAATCCTACCACTGCTTGCTTTGCAGAGGTGATGAATGCCAATCTGAAAACACTTCCTCTTTGGCTGCAGGCTACTCAAAAGTGACTGAGCAGAGACCACCTTTCACAATTACTTGGTCTTTCTGGACAACCAAAGCAAAATCTGGGAAAGACAGGAAGCTTCATTTTCACAAATCTTAGGGTCACTCTGTGGGGGGATAAGTATCAACACTAAATCGCCTGCCTTTGCGTCCAGCCTGGAAGTTTTCTGCATGATACCCAGTGTGAAACACAGGAAACGCTCATTTGTTGGTCTTGACCCTTCGTCCCTGCAAGACACACTCCTCCCTTGCAGAACACCTTTGCTAGAGTCATCTGCCTCAAAGAAGCACATGGTGACTCAACTCCAGGTGTGATCCTGCCTTTTTGAGTACAGGGAACAACATTTATTGTGCTAGCCTCTGGGAAGAGGACAGAGACCAATGGCCAAGGGAACAAAGAGGAAAGAAAAACCTTAACATTAGGCATGGGAGAACCATGCCAACCGGAGAAGGTGGACAAGAAGGACTGAGGCACACGTAGATAACAGAACAAAAACAGACAAAAATTCACCTCCCAAAGCCACGTTGGCATAAGGACAACTCCAGTCTTATTCGTTTAAAGATCATCGTGCTGAACTCTTTTTAAAGTGCTGCTCACGGAAAAAACAAGTCGCTCTCATGTCTTATATATTAAAATCACATTGAAAATTTCAAATATATTGAGGTCATCAAGATTTTGCATTGACCACAGATTTCATGCAATAAGTAATTACAAAGGAAAAAGAAAGGACAATTACAAAAGACCAGAACTGGACACATTTGGACTTGACAAACAAAAGGACCCTAAAGAGATTAGATTAAAAGTTACGAATATGTGAGACAAACATTTGCATAAGAAGCCACAATAGCAATAGTTAAGAAATATACATTTTTTTTTCCTCCTTTAAGGATATTATAGGGTTACAATTTTTCACATATGGCTTGTTTTTCTCAGAATGGGTTTCTGGCATTTGTGGTGTTATGAAATTATCTCACAAGTGGAAAGTACCCACCACTCTGCACAAGTGAACCAGTGAAAGTCTTTCCTAAAAAAAAAAATCCATTTTCCTTCCATTTGAAGGGAAACCCTCAGGTGGCAGTTTATGACAGTGCTATCCATTTTCTTTTTACTCATTCATTTTTTTTTCTTCCAAGTGACTGTGCATTTTAATAGCATGGAAACGATCCATCTGGTGGTACATATCTCAGCTCTAAGCATCCCAGCCCAGTCCACGGGAGGTGTAACACTGTAGATACATGAAGACTGACGGCTCAGAACTGAACACATCCCTGCCAGGGGGAGCCTCAAAGGTGAACGTGGCTATAAAAAATCAACCTGGTCATCATTTCCAGGTAAGTTCAGAATCTTTCACCTAAGTGTGTCCCTTTAAGCAAATTTTTGTATGAAACTTGAAAATCACAGGAAATAGAGAAACAAGAGAAGCCCCAGCTGCTCGGTGGGCAGCTACTGGGTCTTTCCTAGAAAACTTCTAGTGAACACAAATATAACTACCTCCAAATACAAAACATACTGGCTAATGAGGAGTTCTCCATTCCTCAGAATTAAGTCAACTTTCAATTTGTACCTGGCAGCCTCCATGAGGCCCCCCTCCCCACTTTCTTTAATCACAACGGCTATAATTGGTGGGTGTTGGATTGGTGTCCAGCATCGTACTCCATTTTAGCCAAGTGGCAAGAGGAAAGCCAAAACCCACTCACCCTGACACAAACATCAATCCCATGAGAGAATGTTCATCAATTTAAGCTCTTTGCTTCAACCTTCAAATTAGAAAGACTGCAGTCAATTTCCAGGCCTAACTAATTCCTCCCCCATCTCTCACTTTGCCCGATAGCAATTGTAGAAGCTGATTTTTGCTACTACTCTACAACATCTGGAGCAGGAATGGGGGCTTCTCATCAGTATGGCTTTCTTGGGAAAATCAGGGTTGAGGGCAGACAGGTCAGGACAGCAAACCCTGGACAGGTGAGGCCAGAGCTTAGCTTCCTAAAACTGAGATTAGGGGAAGCTCAGGGTTTAGTCTCTGTGATAGAGTCCAACAAGGTCTAGCTTTGGGAGACAGGGAAGAAAGGAGAACAAGGGGAACACACTGCAAACGAAAGACACGCAGACCTACACTTCAAAACTCAGTTTTGTTTCCTTTCCCAACACCTTTCACGGGCCACTCTGGAAAACTAGAAGTTGGAATCATTGTTGGCACATGGCAATGATATTTGTCCTAGAAAAGAGAGAGCTCAGGAAAATGAGTTGGGACATTTTATACAAATGAAGTCACTTCTCAAAAAATGTTACATTAAAGTCTGTTGTTGGGTTTCATGACTGTCAAACCGGATGAAAATGTCATGCCAATATACAAGATTTGAACTGAAAACTTTGCCTGAGACCCTGTAATAATAAGATAAATGAGTGATAAAATGATTGAAATGGTCTCCCCTAAAGGAAACAATCTTAGGTTTAGATATTAATACTGTAAGGGGAAAAAATAAAACCCAGACTACGCTATTCTAAACTCACCATCTCTATAGTGATTCATAAGATATTTATAAGGACAGAAAACACCACTACGAGTACACAATACATGAGCACATATCACATTTTTAAAATTTCATATATGCATGTTCAGGATACAAGAAGATAATAAAGGTTACAGCTTCGCCAATCTCCGCAGACACATGATCTGCTCTCATTAGAGTGCAGTTACAATGAGCACTGTGAATAGGGAACTCTTAAAATTGAATTGGCTAAATGTAGTCTTAAAAGCTATAGTCTTAATTGGCTCACTCACTACCTACCTAAGCTGTATTTATCAGAAATTTCTGTAAATACGATGACCTAAGATATATTACCAGAGCAGTGAATATTGTGGTTGCTTTCTATTAAACTCTTCACTTCTTTGATTCCTCCATGACCACAATTGGCAATGACTATGAATGAAAAAGTTAAGAGTAAAAATTGAGAAATTATCTTTGAAGAGTGTGTGGCCAGTGTGTATAACACCTAGACAAACCAGGGTAAATTTTATTTTCCCAGAGTCTGAAAGACAAGGTATCTACAGCTTATAGAAAGACATTCAGAAGAGAAGAAACAAAGGAATGTGACATTGAACCACAGTGCTAATGTCACGCAGAAATTAGAATGGTGCTCTACCGGTGACGTATGAAGTGAGACACAAATCACAGGATGGCTCCATGGAGGGAGGTGGAAGAGATGTCCAAAAGTACTCACAAGTATAGTTGTTAAAAAGAATTTAAAGAAAACTGAGGGAAGAGAATAGACACTTCACTAGGATCCAACAGGTGTGGAGAGTGAAGCACATGATTTCGCGATACACCTGGTCCAGATGAAAGAAGGAGATGACCAATTGTGACTAGAAATATGAGCTTAACCACTTGTGGCATCTGAGTCTACTGGCCTTGTCTCGCATCCAAAATAATTCCTGGCCACTGCTATCCCTCTAAATGTACCCTGTCCTGAACTTTTTGTGTCTGAATGAAATCACTACGATGCTGATGAGTCCAAATTGACAGTCCTAAAATTCTGCCATTCAACGCATGCCTGACTGGCACCCCAAGGACAACACACAGTGGATGTCTGTCTACTGACCAAACCACACACACCAGCCAGCATTCACCTAGTTGACCCACCCCTGCATGATGAAGCACATGCTCAGAGGACCAACCCCTCCAGACACCGACACCATGGACACAGGCAAGCAGCGCTCCAAGTGGCCTGTGTGGCTCTCACTACAGCATGCGTCACGCATCACTATACCTTACTTTTCTATGTAACCATCTCATGCACGGCTGTGAACCAAGATGTGGGGAGAAAGAAGGAAAATGGGAGGAAAGCTGGGGAAAATCTTAGGCAGAGGCAGACAGGAAAACAAGATTAAGTCTGGAATATCCCACAGCATTGGACTAGCACTGGGTGCCCAGTTCCAAATCCTTTACTGGCAGTTTGAGTCCCAGGGAAGAGGTGCCCAAGGGGTCAATCATGTTCTTGTAACGCTCCCCGCGGTGTTGGGCCAAGAACGGGCCCCAGTCGGGCTGTGGCGAGCACACCAACTTCAGCCTCTGTGGAGAAGTCAAAGACACACATGGTTACAGAAGTAATGCACCTCCCTCCCTTAGGGGCCACCCCCACCCAAGCTGCTTAGGACATTTGCCAGAACCCCTGCTTAGCCACAAGGCCCCCCACAAAACAGGCAGTTAGGAAGATCAGCCCTGTAACTGAGCTAGGCCAGGGACAAATAAAGAGGAGACTGCTTGGTTCACTTGAAATTATTTACATCATCCTGAAAGCGATATGACAATATTTCCGTGTTTGCCTTGAATAAGATTAATAGAGGATAAAGGGCCCAGATTTTAATTATACATTTTTTTTTCCTTCCAAAAGAAGGGAATCTGTGAGATTCCTCTCCACTGCTGAATTCAGCCTGGAAAAGACATGTGCTCAATTACTTTTGTTCTGTAGTCTCAACAGTGGGTTGCTGCATCAAAATAATTGGATTTTCTTTAGCATATTTCCCCAAAGTATATAAATGACCGGGAAAAAAAATCCCAACCCTAAAGATACATCGCCAAGAGTGAGCAGAGATTTTTAATTATCTGTTGACAAAAATAAATGCTTCTGACTTGGTTCAGCAGTGCTGGTTCTTGCAGGAAAGCTGAAAATAATGGGAGTGTCTCTACTCCTTCAACTGAAATTTTTATGGAAAACATAATTTGACTGGAACATTTTCTAGGAAAAGGAAAGAAAACATATTTCTGACTACATAAGAGGGAATAATTATGTGTTTATTACCTATTAAAGTGAAGCTGGTTCTTATAGCTGTTAGTTTAATCTCCCCTTAATCATCAGTTTGCAACCTTTGTATCCCAAATCAACCATAATAAATTTATAGAGCCGACTCATCAGTTTAGAGAATTTCAGCCTAAGACAACAGTAGCAGAGGCTACCCCAGGTTCTGTTCAGAGGGAAAGAGATCTTTGCGCTTATTGGTGGGGAGCTTGATCTGAGGTGAGGGTGAGCAGCCCCTGGGGGTGAATGGGGCCAGGGTTAATTTACCTCAAAGGGATAATGAATGAACGGAGTTTCCTAAGGATTCACACTGGAGTACTGCTTCCTACACCCCTCCTTACCAATTCCATCTCCATCTGTAGGCCAATAAAAGCAAAAACTACCCCCACTCCATAAGTGGACATCTGTGTTGTGGACTTCTTGCGCACCTTACTTACTTCTGTCCTGCTTCTTCCTTCCCAAGCCTCTTCCTTTTATCATTCTGGCTGCCCAAAGGCAAAGCCCAGACAGCTGTTCTTCTCTGCCCTCTACTGACAGGTGTGTCTAAATCATCTGGAGATGATGCCAGGGTCCCCTTTCTCCAGGATCTTGGTTCAGTGGAACTGCCTATAGCCTGATGGTTCACATTTCCAACCAGCTCCCTGGTGGGCGCTCCCCCACACTCTAGGTAACAATGGTCTATTGTAAAACGCCAGGCCTTCAGGATGGAGGCAGGGCTGACTGATTCCTAGCACACCTGAGCAAGTGACTTCTCAAAAATAACCTGAGCATTCTTCACAGTGGCTCAACAAGCAGCAGTTACCTTCCCATCTGCCCTGGGTGAAGGCGGGGATACTCTGCATTACAAATGGGAATGGGTCCAGCAAGGATTTGCTTTGATAAAGAAAAACAAGTCTCACCTCATTCCAGTTATATCCCGGAACTTACTACATTCTATAATATTGACATTAATCAGTCTGGACCCTCAGTCATTCCTAACACAGGGACAGTAGGAAGGGGTAGTAATTTCAAGCTTAACGGTAATAAATGTTCGGGAGGGAGGAGGCTTGGACAGAGAGGAACATCAGGAAAGAGGAATCTGATGTGTGGTTAAAAGAAACACTGGGATTTAAATTGTGGATGAGGGGAGAGGAGGAGGCACTCGGATCATTTATTCCCCAGAGCTGTCACCACACTGAGGAATAGCATAATAACAGCTCAGCCTGTGGATTGGCTGAGCCCCTCCATTAGAGGAATAATACATAATAAAAATGGGATTAATAGAAACAGTGGCAACTGTAATCACTTAATCACCGAGTCTCCCTCTTGAATAAGTTTACTGAATCTTTTGTTTTTTAATGCACAGAGCTTTTAGGGGCTTTCCCTTGGGAGAGGATGACAGAGGAAGGGAGGGGGGTAGAATTACCTCAATAAATCTGCCAGGTGCCAGATACATTTTTATCACAAACATAATTGGGATCCAGATAACAGAGCAGGCAAGCATTAGCCAGCCCAGCACCATGGACCAGTTAGGGTAGCGGTAAGATCCATAGGTCATGGGCTCCCACTGGTAAAAGCTGAAGCAAAGGATAAACTAGGAAGAAAAGAGAAAAGATATGCATTAGGGTAGTGAAGTGATTACTCACTCCTTCTACAGGCATGCGCTGAACCTGTTATGAGACGGATGCATTTGTATCTATTATCTCATTTTATACCATGTCAACTCTGAAACAGAATTTTCCAAAGGAAGAAACTGAATTTCCAGGAAATGAAGATGACACACACTTAGCTGCTGCCCCTGCATTTGCTGTCCCCTAGGAGCTGAGCCATATGTATGCATGTATATTCACACAGACAGGCTGAGAGGATAAGTCAGAAGGATTCACACCAAAGCAACTGATGGTGAGGCAGGGGAGGTTCTATGGGGTAGTCTGTACTTCCTATAGTGGATAATCAAGTTTTGTTATAAAAGAAAAAAATGGTTAAATTTACACATTTTATTTAAAAAAAATAATTGAATCTACTTGGCTTTTTCCTTGAGTGGGGAATGGCCCACATCCAGGAGCTGTCTCTAAAGCTAGCTAAATGAGACCCAAAGCGGTCCCCAAGCAGTGACTGAGCTGGAAGCCTGCTCCTACCTATAATAAGCTGTGGGACAAAGAGAGAAGATGCACAGCTCCCCTGTCAATGGACTCAAGGTGAATGGGCGTCACCACCCAACATCCAGCTAGACCCCAGAGACCTGAAGGCTAATCTTGGTTCTCCACTAATTAGCTGAGGGACCTTTATGTCTCAGACTTCTCTGCTATAAAATGGATATATTTCCCAGTGTGAATAAAGCACAGGGGTTTTCTGGGGAAAACAGTCTAAGTATTTACTCAAGAGTCCCCCTTCGATTTTAAGAGAGGTCATGATTTATTTTCTGCCCATTATTTCCTGTCACTATCCACTTTGGCTGCAGCTGCCATGAGGTTCCTGTGAAGGTCTGGCCAGTGCAGCTGGAGAGGAGCAAGGGAAGCAGATGCTGGGCACCTGCAAAGACAGAGAAAGGCTTCTAATTGCTCTGGTCAAGCTTTTTTGGGGGGTGTGGGGGGCATATCCCTGAGAAAATTATGTGACTCCTGTATGCATTCTTCCTACAGCAGCATCAGCCTGGACCAATTCATCCACTGAAATCCTCTTCTCAATTCCACCTTTCTCATCCTATCCTAAGCTATAAAATAACTGCCCCAGAAAAGATCAAAGGGAATTATGTCAGAAAAAAAATTTATATCTGGACATATTTTGGAAAAGCATGAAACACTATATAAATGCTAGGCATCTATGTTATCATTGCAAAGCCCAAGTGACCAGGACAAGTGATTATTTCAATGTAACAATAATTAAATATACCATTTCAAAGCAACATGAGTCTGAAGACAACTGTTGAAAAAATGCTTTTATGGAAAGAGATGTCTACTTTAGTCTTTAGTCCTCCTTTTAAACATTTGCCCCTAGAGTTATAAGCTTTATTAACCAGTCTATTGGAAGTATGGCCTAATGTAATTATGGTAAGCTGCTCCATTTCATTTACTATATAAATAGCAATACATCTGCTTATGTGTGTGCATAACTCAGTAACGTGATCTGACTATGTATACAATAATTGCATGGAGAATATTTATAACTCTATAAATCCATGAAGGCACATATAAAAATGATCAATTTTATTTCAGGGGCTCTGAGGTAATTTAAACCCATAATCTTAGCCTATTCTAGCATACCACAACTAACCATTTTACACAAGGGTAAATGGCAAAAACTAAGTGTTGGACTTAGTCCTTTGACACCCATTTCTAGTTACACAAATATCACGTCAAACTTATAGGCACAAACTTATTCTTTGCCAAATTTGTTCCCTTTTCCAAGGAAGGTTTGATTTTTAAAAAAAAAAAGGGGGGGGGTATCAGGACCTCACTGGATCTGGCTGTTAGAGATGATAATTTAGCCACCAAGTCATTCTGACCTTTTGCTGCTGGCAGCCAAAGAAGGTACCAGAAAGGGACCCATAGGTTGATGGTGATAATAGATTCAATGGCTTCAAATTGTCCCTACCTTCCAAACAACATGGAAGGGCAATCTGGTTCAAATATTTTCTGAAACCTCTCCATAACTTTCTAGGATTCATATAATGAAAATCTAGGAAATTATAGCCTAATTTCCTAGAAACTGTCTCAAAAAACACAAGAAGTTCCTATAATTCCTCTTCCCTGGCATTCTGTTCACAAAGACTAGAGCTGTTTTAATCCAAACTGGCCAAACTCCACTCAGAAATGAGAGCCTGGGTGTTAGAAATGTATTAGAGCATGAACTTCAAGCCTAGAAAGCCCTAGGTTCAATCACTGGCTCTACAAGCCTTCTAGCCCGGGGCAAGTTCCTTAACCTCTTCAAGCCTCGGTGAACACAGCTGTGAATTGGAGAGAGAATCACCCACCAGGCAGAGTGGCCATAGACTTTGGGGATAATGTTTTAAATTGTAATAAACCTCAACACAGAGAAGTGCTGGTTATTACTGTGGTATTTTTTTCTGCAGAATATAATCAAATTCTCTGAAGCTCTTCTAGGATCGGAAGAAGCAAAGGAGAAGAATAAATCATGAGGGATAATAACTGGGAAAATATCCATGCTCAGCAGAGACAGGGACTGCTACTGTCCAGAGGGTCTCTGGTAGCAGAAGGCATTCTATGGGAGTGTTGCCCCCAGCAATGAGGAGGATCTTCACACACACCTCAGACCTGAACTCAAGGGGGTGAAAGCTATCTTAATCCTTTCCTATTCATGTCCCAAGCTGGTGGGGCTATTCAGACTAATTACAGTCTCTAAAATAGGGGTTCCAATGTGGATATGATGTTGATCTGGGGAATTAATAGTTTTTGTTTCTGAATTTCTAGCTTTTCAGAAAGAAGTATTATGATTATATTTCACTCTGGAAAGAAGAAATAAGGGAAGGAGGAAGGAAGGAAGGAAGGAAGGAAGGAAGGAAGGAAGGAAGGAAGGAAGGAAGGAAGGAAGGAAGGAAGGAAGGAAATTTTCATTGCGATTATACTTTCATCCACCCTGTCTTGTGTTTCATAAGCAAAACTGGTAGCCTGCGTTCAAAGGTCTTAATCTGGTTTCTACTGCCACCTACTGGGTCAAGCAAAAATAACTGCCTCCTCTAGCCTTGCCAACATGACACTCCCAAGCCAAAGAAGAGAAAGGCAAGCCAAAGGGGAAGGGCAAGATCTCTGTTAATGACTGTGCTTGGAGAGCAAAGCGAGGCGAAATTGATGGCTTATGGCACAATAACAAAGGTGACAAGATGCAAGTATAAGCCCCTATGCAGATTTACTGACACGTGAAAGGTTCTGATCTTTAAAAAGATGAATGTCTGATGATCCCAAAATGTCATCTTCACACTTGAGGATGAAAAGATAGTTCTCCAAAGCAATAAAAATGAACAATAATGATCTCATTAATGCTCTCTTATCTGTACAGCAGCTGTACTGAGTAGTGGTTAGGAGCCAGACTGCCTGGGTTCAAATCCAGGCTGTTGCTAATTATTAGTGTACAAGTCATACCCTCTGGGTTTCAGTTTCCTCACCTGAAAAATGGATGTTAATTATAATGCCTGCCTCACGGGAATGCTGTGAGAAGGAAATGAGGCTATATGTATAAAGCACCTTGAACACAGCCTGAAACATGGTTAGCGTGTGGCAGCTTTGGGCTATGAATGCTGTCAATACATAAGGCAGACAGATATAAGGAAGGGTCAGTGTTCTGCAGGGGTACTCCAAAAGCCTATGCACTAATCCCTGACCATTTAAGCACCTTTAGGCATGTCATTTTGCCTCTCTGAACCTTAGTTTCTTCACCTAAAAGACAAGGATAATACCCATCCCACCAGCTTCCCAGACTCATGCATACATGTTTTCAAACATCAAACATTGCATATATACATGCAAGGTGCTATTTGCATGAGAAAGCATGCAATCCTTACAGTTAAAATGGTTGGAGTTACAAACGCCCAGCAGACTTTCCAGAAAATGTTGGGCTGGAATCCAATCATCATCTCTATATCTTCACAGAATCTTTGCAAGCCTGCAATAGACAAGCAGAGACCAAGTCTGAGGTGCAGTGGCAGGGGCTAAGGAGAAAGCAGAGGGAAGGCACTCAAGCCCCTTACTTGAGAGCCATTGGCTAAGGATGGCCCCAGCCTGGTGTCAACATGACCCCTATTATGCAGGGAAAGAGCAGACAAATGACTCGTTGCCAGGAAGATTAGGGCAAATTAAACATTTAAATAGATATTACATACTCTCTGCAGTGAGGTTCAAAAATGTCAGCCCACAATGACATCTAAAAAGCTCATTTCCAGCCCAACCCAGGTGTCTTAGCACTGCCACAGCCTGCCATGTTCAAGTGCAAGAGGCTGTTTTGTGAGATGGCCTTATGTGCTTAGTGACTAGTCTGGCAAAACCAATTAAGATTGTGGTCAATAAACACAGTGTATTATAAAAGCCCTGGGATTTAGAGTGAGAGTCACTGTACACTGGTTTCATGTCCCCACTCTCCCAATAAAACTCCTCCAGTGAGCCCAGTTATCTTTGCCCTTTTTAAGACAATCATGACAGGGGAAACCCAACGCAAATTCCAAGTGGGTGTCACCCACTGTGTTGGGACTAAAGGGCTGCTGTCCTCTTGGACAACTGTATAAAGTAAAATGCAGAAGTGACAGTAATTTGGGGCCCACCCAACACCACCCCTGCATCCACTTGATTTAGGAAAGCTTCCTGGAAAGGAAAGGCCATTGAAAAATGTCTTGGAGCTGAGCTGTTCCTTGCATTCTTTCCTGAGCTTGTCAGAAGTGTGGCCTTCTCAGATCTGTGGAATGAATTATGCCAAAGGAACCGTAAAGGTCCCCCAAGTTCAAGCTCCTTTGTATTTAGCAGTTCTGAAAATCCATGCAGCTGTATACTCAAGATATGTGCTCCTTGCAGAGAAGAAGGAACCCTAGTACACTGTGGGCGGGAATATAAATTAGTATAGCCACTATGGATAACCTTCTGGAGGCTCTCAAAAAATTTTAAAAAATAGTTACCATAAGACCCAGCAGTCCTACTACTCGATATATATCCAAAGGATTTGAAATCAGTATGTTAGGATCTAAAACTTGAACCCCAATTCTGCAACCAACTCACTGTGTGACCTTATATAAGTCCTCTCTCTCTGATCTTTCATTGGTTTACTGAGGAGAGTGAGCCAACTTAAGCCCTGTCCAGAGGTCCATCCGTGGTGCAAGGAGGCTCTGCTTTGCTTTTTTGCATCTACAGGTAATTACTGAATGTTTTGAATAGTGGGCCGTGCCAACTTTGGATTTGTTTTCTCATTTGTTTCCTTTAGTGCTTTATCAAACACCTTCAGATAAGTGACCACCAGACACTAGGCCCCTTGGGCTTAGGTGAAGGGAGAGAACCAAAGAAACAGAAGGTGAAGCTGAGGCCCTCAAAAGCAAACCAAGTGATCTGAAATCAGATCTCAGTGGAATGAAAGAAACAAAAATGACAAAGTAAGGTTCTAGAAATTTCTGTTATCAGCTCATCCTGTTGCCAATTCTTCACCAGAAAACTATCCCCAAGAGATGGTGATGTGTGGCTTGAATGGAGACACTGACATGACAGGGTCAAAGTTAGACCTGAGGGGGACAGCTGGAAGCCTCCTCCTAGAGGAGGGGATCATGGTTAAAATGTTCAGTTTGGGGGCTGGAGATGTGGCTCAAGCGGTAACGCGCTCACCTGGCATGCGCGGGGCACTGGGTTCAATCCTCAGCACCACATAAAAATAAAATAAAGATGTTGTGTCCACCGAAAACTGAAAAATAAATATTTTTAAAAATTCTCTCTTTCTCTTAAAAACAAAAATGTTCAGTTTTCCCACAGGGGACTAAGAACTGGTCCCCAGCTGTGGGAAGGGAGGGATGATGGCAAGAGGCAGCCCCATGCAGAGGAACAGTCCCAGGATTGGCAGTGCAAAGGCTTTGGCTCCCAGGCCAGTTCATCTTCCTCCCTGGACCTCATAGAAGGGACCTGGCCTCTACCTCTGACAGCTCCAGGTCCTGCGATCGCTGCTTGTTCTGCCAGCTTATAAGCTGCCCTTGCAGATGCAGCCAAGGGGTACCCATTGGGAGCCACTGAGCAACCCTCCTGCCTTATGCCCATTCCTGAGTCAAGATCTCCCATCCCTTCAACCCCAGCCCTCCCATGTCCTGGCTCACACTCCAGTCCCCACCTGAGTCTCTTACTAAGTCAGTGGCTATCTTCATCTTAGACCTTTTTTATTTGGCTTCCCCTGCCTGCTCCATGCTTTCCACCAATCCAATTCCATCTTGCCTTCAAAGCCTAACTTACAATAAACAAATTGTTCATGGAGCCTTGAGCATATTCAGAAGACTTATCTGCTGCCTGTCCTTGAACCTAGAGATATAGGACAGCAAGTAGTTGGGCCCCAAAGGAATCTGAACCACCTCTAATCACTAGTCTGAATTATTAGAAAAACAGGAGGAGGAAAAAAAAAAAAGCTGAACTCATGCCAACTATTCTAGACTCAACAAACAGATGTGAGACTCAGAAACCAACCCCCAACAAGCTGCATGCAGACAACCAATCCTAGACTGGGTAGACTTGTGCTTATGTAATTAGGGGCTTTTGTGCTGATAAGTCATGCCCCTGCCCCTGGCCTGGATGTATTCTTCTGGGAGCAGCCAGAGCAGCTTCTGGCCTTGAGCTATGCAGACTCACTGGAACCCAGAAAGACACCCCGCTCCACCACCTTGAAATTCTTACATGATTTTTAATAAGAGACTCCATATTTTCATTTTGTGCTGGGTCCCAGAAATAATGCCTCCATTCTATGTGTAGGCTCCAGACAAGTAAACCCCCATACTATTCCTCTAATAGCTACTGTGAAGGCCCTACCCCTCTGTTAACTAGGATTTCCCTGCTTTGGTGGGGAATTCAGCTTAGCACTCCCTAAGTCTCGGTGTTTATCTGTTTGTCTTTCTATTATCTCTGAGACACCACCTTCTCAAGGTTTTCCTAACTTCAGAGGCTCTCCTTCATCTCTGGATAGTTAAAGGTTTCACAGCCAGGTGCCCAGCTTAACCCTGACCTTCTTCTCAATGTCCTAAGTGTGTTTGCTCTGCCTTAGTAACTGGTGAGCAAATGCCATGAATGTAAGAAACCACCCCTTCCCCTCACTACCCCCTTTTCTGGGAGCACACAGTAAGCACTTAATAAATACTTGGTTATTTACGCACACATATTCACAGTGTGAGTTATTAATGGACTGAAGTCTCGCATTTCTAATGCATACTGAACCCCAGGATACGGAGCTTGGGAACCCTACATCCTGAAGTGGGAGGTATATACAGAGTCATTCCAACTGAAACACAAGTAAAGATAGAGTTCAGGTATGGGGGCCATGAAGGGGAAAAAAAAAAACCGAAGCTTGGATTTTCAGAATTCATGGGGGAGCAGCTTTTGTTTGCTCTTTGTTTATGTTTTGTTTTAGTTTGTTTTGTTTTGTACTTTAAAAATCTTATGAAGTTCTGCCAGCAGGATGAGCAACAAGAACTGAAGAAGACACATGCCATCCTTTAAAAGCCATCACTTTTGGTGGAAAGTTGGTTGGTGGAAAACCAACGATTCTCACAGGGTGTGGAGAGAGAAGACTAGAGATAAGGTGCTAAAGCACCACCTGACTCAAGTGGAGAACAGAAGAAGATGATTGTGCCTAGCAAGGTGTCAGAGGCAAGAGGTCAGTAGGTGTGATGCCTCAGTGGACACAGTTCAATCACCTTGTTTCTCCAGCCAGAAGATCCCCTGCTGGCTCCCAGAAACATGCACTTCACTTTTTTAAAGTGACTCTCCTTTGGTTAAAAAGCCAGTTGAAGTTGCCAGGCACACACTTATAATCCCAGTGGTTTAGGAGGTTGATGCAGAAGGAGGGGGAGTTCAAAGCCACCCTCATGGGGCTGGGAGTATAGCTCAGTTGGTAGAGTGCTTGCCTCCAATGCACAAAGCCCTGGGTTCAATCCCCAGCACCACAAAGACAAAGCCAGCCTCAGCAAAAGCAAGACACTAAGCAATTCAGTGAGACCCTGTCTCTAAATAAAATGAAAAATAGGACTGGGGATGTGGCTTAGTGGTTAAGTGTCCCTGAATTCAATCCCTGGTACCTCCTCCCCCCCCACACACCACCCTCAAAAAAAAGCCAATTAAAAGGACTACTCCTATACCACACTTGGGGAGTTCTACCTTTATCTCTGGGTCCCTCCAACCTGGGGATTGGCCTTTGAGGCATGTTAATCTAAGAATTTGGATCAGCTCTTTTAGTCTAATGATGAAACTTGAAAACTGCCTACACCATGTATCAACCGCTTGAGAGGCATCCTCTAGAATGTAGACACTATCAAAAATAAACAGAAAACACAAATCTCTGCAATTTACTTGCTTATTTTTAAGATTCTGCAGCCTGGAAGGTGATGCACCAAATTGATTGGGTTCATGCTCATTCTTCACAGTTTTGTGTTCAACTGCCTCACACTAACCTCGAGATCTGGGGCCTCACAATCTCAATAGAGTGCACTGTCCTCGGGGATACGATTACATATTTGTGCAGGCTTTTCCTTTCGTCTCTGACAACTGTTAGCTTAATTAACTATTTCTTCCTGAAATTTTATTTCTTCAAACTCCATCTAGATCCAAGTCTAGCCTGAGTCTAGCATGCAGTCAACCTGATTCTGGAGGCTGACCCAGTATCAGTACCCTTAAAGACTCAGGGTTTTCTGTCTCCTGTAAATCCATCATGAACCAGGAACCTTAAGCCCTCAGGATTTATTTATTCCTTTCAAACCAAGAGATCTACTACCAGATTTATATGAGGGAGGGGGAAAGAAAGCCATTTAACTTCTAAAAACAGAAACATTAAAAGGTTTCTATTTTAATGATGCTTTTAAACTACACTGAAAGGGCCTATTTTACAGGAGAGAACTGTGCAAATGTACTTTATGCAGCAATTAGCAGTTAGGAAACAGGTGAAGAAGGAGGTAAATGAGATAACTTTCTCTGCACTTGGGCCAGCCAGCGCTGCAAAGGAAGTGCTTTCCTGACTCTACCAAAAGACCATCTGGTTATTTCACTAATATGTGGACCCACCAGGGGTTGAGTTTCCAAATCAGGACCTCAGAGACCTCTCTTTGCCTTAGACAAGCCCTTCTGTATCTGGGCAGACAGTTAAGATCCACTGTGCTAGATCTCACTGGGCTTCTGCCATTCTCTGCTCAGATAGAAAGTGCTTTGACGCTTCACCCTCACCCTGACATCAGATCTTCCACCACAGCATTACTGCAGGGTCCAGGCTGTCTATTCAGCCAAACATGTTGGCAGGTTGGTCTCTGATCTCCTCAGGATGGCTGGCAGACCTACCCACTCCTCTTGCCAGGAACTAAACTCTTCCTTTTAGGGATATGATATCTAGTCGGAGACAAATTCCCTTTCAACCAATACTTCAGTATTTTCCCGTTTCTGGGGTACCAAGGTTTCCTTGATTCCTACCCATCCTCCTCCACCTTAAGGAGTTTTCCAGGAAAGCAAAAAACCATTGATCACCTGTTGAGTGGAAAACTGATGATTACATTAAAAGCAAGATGCTCATCTCAAGAACACATGGCAGCCAGGGAGAGCTTTATTGGGCCCCAGTTTAAAGGGAAGAACTCTGCAGGTACCCCTGGTTCTGGCCTGGACCCCTCTTCCTCTGGGCTTCATGGGATGCATCTGAGGGCACTTACACCCTGCACTCCAAGCGACCACTGCATCACCTTTTTGATCAGAGCATGTTGCTATCTCTTTGGGGGAGTTGAAATACAGTTAGATAGTCTGAACAGGAAATTTTCACCTTTTTGATATTTGCTTTGGTGGCCATATCAATATTAGGGAGGCTTTAGTGTAGGGACAGTTCTGAGCAGACTTTCAGAAACAAAGAAGTCAACAGTTCCTTGAATCAAATAGGGCTTCCTTGTCCTGACTGACAGGGTCCAGGAGACGCCCTGGTGAGAGTCCAAGGACAAGCACCTTCACACAAAGGACAAAGATGGCATCTGGTGGCTCAGCACTCCCGTTGTTCTTGACAACAGCTCCACTGATTATGGGATACAGGTTGCTATGGTGATAGTAGGATGAGTAAATCATAAGGGAACTGATAGTTTATTCCTGGGAAAATCTGAGATTAAGATATTGTGTCACAAGCTCTCCTTGTGCTAATAATTTCCTAAGGATCTGTGAGCCAAGGGGTCTCTGTTCTCATGATTGTATCCAGAGACCAGATGCAGAATTCCCCCACATCTCCAGCTATGCAGACATTGCAAGAAATAATTTCACACCTACAAAGTGGCCCTCCTCCTCCCTTCCCTGGCCACTGTCCACAGGCATTAACTGTTCACATGTCAGACCATAACCAAAGACCATAACCCTGGAGTTTCTGACACAAAGTTTCAGAGTTTCACCATCGGCTACTGTTTGTTTCTCTATTAAATCTGGATCACAGTGGTCCTGACAAGCTTGGATAAAAAGGTGCAATTAAATCCTTAATTGCCTTGTTAAATATGGGGAATCTTCTTGCAAGGAATGCCTTAGAGACACTGAAGTTCTACCTGGAGAGCAGACACAGCGATTCCCTTACCGTACACATAGGAGATCCCAACGAGCTCAAATATGGCAATGATGACGAGGGCGTAGGAGGCAGCATACGTGTCCACAAGCTGAAACATGTAAATCCCACCCTAACAGGAGAGAGAAACAACCAACATCAAAAATGAGTCTAGGAGGTGGGCTCTGTCTCCATCCTGAGAAGAATCAGGTGCAAACAGTAGTCAAAGAATCTCCCCTCTCTCAAGAGCAGTAACCTACACCTGGTCAAGTTGTAAACTGGAGCCCTTGCCCGTTAACAAAGCAGCCCCTTGACAGTCTCTGAATTAGTCAATAAAGCATGCAAAAAAAGTATTTTAACACCTTATTTTTCAAAGGCAAAGTCAACATCTGAGTTACATATGTGAAAGCAGCCGGAGGGCTTCCTTTATTGCTTTAAGCAATCCATGATCATTTCCACCAGTGTATCTGCGTTTGATTGACCTTCATACAACCTTTGGATATCTCTGAGCAGTCCTCACACATCCCCATGTGTCTCTTCCTTACTTTTCAAGTCTCCCTATAATCGATGAGGCTTAGAGGCCATCTCATTTCAATCCATCATTTTATACATAAACTAAGGCCCAGATTAGTGACTTGCTCAAGGTCACAGAGACAACAGGAGCAGTGTAGATACTACGGGAGCTCATGTCCAATTTACCAAGTCATTCAGGACTGGAAGAAGCTTGTGTGATGAGTAATATCTTGGAAATGTATCTGGTTGGTACATTGCAACTCGAATTTTCTAAGTTTTCCATCTTAAATGGGACACACCTGTCTTGTTGGCTCAAGAAGGCTACATCTTAATTACAAAATGCCAGAAGCACCATCAGTAGCCAAGATGGCATATTTCCCTCTCTACTCAGAATTCCTAATGGGCTGGTGCCCTCTACATGAAAATGGCAGTGATTCAGCTATGATGGTGAGGCCCGAGAATTAAGGGTAAAGGGAAAGAGAGTCACCTGGGCCACCCCAGACCTGTGTGCAGCAGGCCTCTTACCTGGGTGATCATGGGAAAACCCATGATGAAGAAACAAATGCAGCAGCCCAGGGTGAAGAACGGCTTGTGTGTGCGCAGGTACTTGGGGAACTCATCCGAGATGGAGGTCACTATGGTCTCGATGGTGGCAAACTGGAGCAGTGTCGAGAAACAGTATCTGAGTCAAACTTTCCCACTCGGAAGGCTCTCAAAAGCCGTTTGCGTGTCTCCCCAGGGAAATCTGGGCTAGGTTTGGTTTTTTAGGATGGTATTCTTTTGATGGGTCTAAAAGGGCCCAGCTCACATAGCCGGCTGGGAGAATTCGAGCAGGATATGAGCTTTAGAAACTGTACTTTCAAGCCCCTGGAGAATACACTCATATTCATTCATCAGGTCACTTTAAGCTTCGTTTTGTATTCATGAGATGTAAATTCCTCTCCTCCAGTTACCTTGCATTTGATCTTCTATTTGAGGAAAAACCCTCTTTGCACCAACCACTGAACTTTAAGCACCTGTCAGCATGATTTGCAGTATTCTCAGCCCCGCAGCAATTTCCCTAAAATTCACTTTATAATATTCTCCCTTATCCAGCCCCCCATGGAATTTACTTCAGGAAAATGATGCCAAGACAGGACACATGCAGGCTAAAACTTAGCGTGGAGAACCAGGAGAGGCAAGGAAGGGAGAGGATGACTCCTCTGCCCAAAACTGCCAAGTAATCCTGAGCCCTGGACGGGCACCTCACCTTCCCTACATTGCTCGGGGGAAGCCTTCAGTCACCCCTAAGTCTACCTCTTTGCTGCTGGCTCAACCCAGGAAACAGGGTCTTCAGAAGGAACCTGGGACAGGGGCAGAAGGGGAAAGGGCTCACCATGGTGTCAAGTCCGAGAGTGAGGAGCATCAGGAAAAAGATGATGGCCCAGAACGGAGAGAGGGGCAGCCTGGTTAAGGCTTCAGGGTAAACCACAAATGCGATGCCTGGCCCTGAGAGGAACGAGACAGATGATTGCAGGCCCACCCAGCTCCAGGTCCCTCTTTCCAGAGCCTTCTGACCACGGAGACCCTGAATTCTTCCTCATTCTATGCTGAGTCCACTGTTTTTATTTTTTACTCATCTCTACCAGCTTCCCCAATTAGACCAGGCTGTCTTCCATGTAAATAACATATGAAACTGTATTTCTGTTGGATTATTATGTTTTAATGATTATAATAATTGCCCTCTAAAACAAGGGTTCTCAGTTAGAGATGATATTGCCCCCCACCACCAAGAGATATTTGGCAATGTCTGGAGACATTTCTGATTCTCACAACTGTGGTGGATTAGTATGGCTGCCAGCATCTAGTGGGTACAGCTAGGGATACAACTAGACACCCCTCAATGCACAGCCAGTCTCCTGCCAACAAAGGATTGCCCAACCCCAGTGTCAACAGCTGATGTAGAGATCCCCGCTCCAAAGGCTAGGACATCACCAGAATGACATATCTCCCCCTTTAGCTATATTCCCCCCTCCTCAGTTCTCCAACAGAAGCCACTCCCATAAAACACGAATCTCTCCACCACCTTTAGGATCTTGCCCTACTTGGTAAAGATGGGGCTATGTTAGTCCATCCGTAATTCATTAAGAAGCAGAATACAACAGACACTAGTATGGCAATATGTAAATCAATGGATGTGTAACCGATGTGATTCTGCAATCTGCATACGGGGTAAAAATGGGAGTTCATAACCCACTTGAAACAAAGTGTGAAATATGATATGTCAAGAACTATGTAATGTTTTGAACAACCAACAATAAAAATTTAAAAAAAAAAAGAAGATGGATGGTGAAGCATGGTGTGAGTTGAATTTGCTCCCTAAAGGTCAGGCAGACCTGATCCACATCCAGACTCTACCATTTACCAGCTGTGCAAACTTAGGTTGGTTACTTAATTGCCAGAAGCCTTAAATTTACCCACCTGTAAAAATGGGAATAACAGTAGTATCTCAACTCAATCAACAATGTTGTTATGAAGAGCACATTTTAAAATGCAGGTGATACGCTGAGTGTGGTACCCCTGCACATCATCAAAGTTCACATAATATTAGCTTTTATTAGGAAGACAATGAACTTGGCAATTAGAGGTTCTGATTCAGAGGTTCCTAAGAATCCCACAGGCTGCCCTGCTGGGGAGCTGTCCAACTTAGAGTTTTCTCAGCTGCTGTAAAGCTCTGTGGCCATCCCCTCCTGCCTTGTGGTCTCACTGGAAAGATCATCATGACCAACCATAGCCAAAGACATGACAGTTGTGAGTTTCTTTGTAAGGAGAAAGCGATATGATATGGGCAGAGACCAGTGAACACCAGTGCTGGATAACCCACAGCCATCCCATATCTGGAAACCAGAAACCCCAGCATCTGCAGTTTTTATAACTCAAGCATAATGGCATTTTAAAAAAAAAAAAACTGAAATTTATCAGGTTATTAGTTCCTAATGTTGCCTAGGGCCTCAGGGCATTTGAAATATAAAGACTCAAATGCCTAAAATACCCCTGCTTTATGTATTTAGTGAACAGACTGTGCGGCCAGACTCTAAAGGCTCCCTATGTGAACCATAAAAGAAAAGTCTGTATTAAACTACAGTTCAAAATAGGTCTCACATGCAGAACAAGGAAGCCAGCACAGTGCTCTGACGACAGTCAGTCCCATAAAGCTGACTGGGTCTTAAATGGCCACTGCCACAGGACCTCAGCAGGATGCTTAAACATGATTCAACCCTTTGGGGTGTTACTACTTCCCCAGGGGGGTTGGTTTCAAAATATTAGGCCTGCTTCAATTTCAGCTGTCTCCCTAAAGGACTCAAATGAAGGCACTTTTTTTCAAGCTACATTAAAGCAAACCTCACTTACCCATGTTGTCTTGGGGAGTGGAATTGTCTAGAAAATAATACTGTTTTTTAATAGCCATGGTGACCACAGGTGAGTCACTTGACCTCTCTGGACAAACCTGAGTTTCCTTCTCAAGCAATGAAGATAACAGTAGCCCCTACTTTGTAGTGCTCTGTGAGAATAAAATTTGTCAATATAAGCAAATGGCATGGAGCATGCCTGGACATAGCAGGATGCAGGAAACATAGACCTTTATTACTCTTCCCATCACAGGAGATGAATAGAGTTCTGCATCCCAGTAACTTTCTGGGGACAGGGCCTATGGAAATGGCACAGTGAGAGCCTCCCTCACTGCAGAGCACCCCTGAAGACAAAGCATGGGTCTCGGGCCAAAGCAATACATGCAGACCCACAGCACCGCATGGGTGGCCACTCAGCTGTGACACTTATCTCAAATGGGATGAGTTCTCTGAGAACACATCACCTGCACCCTGTGCCTGTGGGCAGAAGGATTGGAATGCAAGGCATGTACGCCCGTGTGGTTGGATGGAGGGTGTTTGATTTGATCTCTGAACTATTAGGATGTGCCTAGTCTGGTTTATCGGGAGTTACCACCAATCAATATTTGGGAATTCTAAATAAAATTGGGTTTGTCTGCTCGAGCTGAACCCAGTCTTTCTGCTTGTTAGATAAGCATCTTTGTAGAGCTTCGGATTCATGTCAGAAAATGAATCACTGCTCCATAGGCAGTGATACAGATGGGCAGGAGATGGCTCTCAAAGGGCAGTCTCCTCTGGAGTGTTCATTTCTGGAGTCGACCCCTGGGAAGACTCCCTTCCCTATGCCTGTCATAAAAGTAGAGCACATTTGGTATCATCACCAATACCACCTTCAGCCCCCCCACCCCAAATTCTGATGTGGTCAAGATTTGGGGTCATAATTTTGAAAGAAATGCCTCCCTTAGAAGGGAGTAGTGAGTGAACCAGAATAATGTTCGGTCATTAAGGAGAACCTGTTTTTGACTAAAGACCAAAGCTTAGTTACCAACGTTGGTTTAGCAAAAAATATCCTGAGTGTCTATAGGCGAATAGTGTTGCATATTACAATATGGGTGAAATTCAAGGCAAGTCTGATCCCAAGTATCTGACCTGGATTCTGCAGAGCCTTCTTTACACCAGAGGTCATAAGCTTGTAAAGTACACATAAGAATATATGCAAGTTCAGATGAGCAGAAATAGCTACCCTAAGGGATCTAGGGACAGTCCCATGGGCCACTGCTTTCTCTCCTTTGGGGAAGGAAGCCCACTGTTTCTGGACCAAAGACCAAGTATCAGTGCCACAGGCTAGAACCTTCTAGATGTGCTCTTCTCCCTGTTAGATCAGAGGAATACTGAAAAATACTGGAAAGGGAAAATTCCAGAAACACAGACAATTGTCTGCTGCTCTTCACACAGAGAATAAGCAAAATTCTATTGGAATTTGAGCCACATGTTCAACCCAGATTCCTTTCTGAGGGCAGGAAAGAGCTCAGAACTATTAACTTATGTGGCCTGCATCTCAAAAAAATCACTATTTCTGGCAGCTTGGCCATTTGTTCCCAACAAGCTCAGTAATGTCACACACACACACAAAAAAAATAGCAAGATGCCTCAGATAAGTGCTAGAAAGTGGGGCACATACATCTGCTTCAGCAACTCTGCTGGGAGGAAATGAGGTTACAGGACAGCTGGGGGTGGCTCAGACACTCCTGAGGACAGAGCCTTCTCACCTCCTTCCTCTCTCTGCCTCACAAGGAGTTTGCGAATTCTCAACCAGGAAAAAGCATTTGCTGAGCTCCCAGGGCCCCTCTAATTTAGCGCACTGCTGCAGAACCAAACATCCCTCCGGGTTTCACGGGCTTCACACTCTCTCCAGGGAGAACAAGCACACATCCCCGCCCCCCAACAGTGCAATAGAGCTGCTCTTTAACTCTTTGAGGCTCTGTCAGCACAAATTAAAGCCACAATTAATTATCCTCGAGGAACCAGAAGAAATCGATCAGCCCACCCAAAAGGTGACATTTCTAGAGCTTCCTTCTCTCCTCTAATGACATCCCAGCCATTATGTGAGAACAGCAATGAGGTCCTTGTAGAAAAGATGACTGCCAGACGATCCTGGCACAGGTTCACCTCTGGATGGCCGGGGAGACAGGAACGTGCCCCTTAGTACCTGGCACAACCCCTCCACACTGAGGCACCTCACAAGTGCCTAATTAGAGAGTAAGACCATAGTGACAAGCAATAACCACAGTGAAATCCCTCCATCCCCCAAACCCTCTAAATACCCAGATGGATCCTTTATAGAGCCAGAGTGGGTGGAAAACAAAGAGTTAAATAAAAATCTTCAAAGCTCTCTCTGTAAATGAGATTCTAGAAATATGGATTAAATAAGATAAAAGTGAAAGCTGTAAACTTGAAAGCACCATGTAAATGTTAGCCATGAATACAAGCAACACTTGGGTGGAGAGAACAATTATTCCACAGCCCCCCCCCCACCAGCCACCATCATCCAACCTTTCCACTCACTGGGGAAAATAAAAGAGCAGGTCTGCATTGCTAACTAAGCAGAAGGCCTCGAGAACACATGTGACCTAACCATCGGGAAAGTGCTTTGTAAGGAAAAGGCTCCTCAGAAGCCCGTGCTCATTAAGTGTTCATGCCTGGTTCCCACACAGCCCTCTGAGAGGAATGTCATCCTGCGGCAGGCTGTGGCCACATCAGCTCCAGGGGCACTGATTTGCTTAATGAGTCCTCTACTCGTGCCTAACAGGCATGACGGGTAGAGACCTTACTCACTCAGGCCGGGTGGCGTTAAGAGAAGGAAGGGAAGACGGAGGAGAGGGGAAAGGAAAGGAGGCTTTTTAAAGCCATCTCTCTGGTTAGAGACAGGTCAACTCATGCTGCTGTGGGCTTCCCCCTGAAGCCTGTCTTGGTCCCTCTGTAGAGGCGCACTCAGGATCCCCACCCTCCACCTGTTCCAGAAAGTCAGGTGACCCCAGAACCTCCCTGCCATAACAGGGGACCAAGTCCCCATACCTTGGTCCGCCACATTCTCAATGTTGACTTTGCGTTCATGGGCCATGAAGCCGATAACGGAGAAGATGACGAAGCCGGCAAAGATGCTTGTGGCACTGTTGGTGCAGGTTACAATTAGAGTGTCCCTGGAAAGGAGAGACCACAGTTTGCCACTAAGTGAATGGGAAGGGACAGGGGAAGGACAAATGCATAACATGTGTTGGGTGCATATGGTATGTGCGTGCATGTTTGCATGAAGGAGGAGAACCCAGCCACTGACCTAACCAACTCCATTTTTTAAGGGGCCAGAAGATTCAGTATCTGGTGGGGGATGGCTCACTCTCAGCTCCAGATATGCTATCTCAGTTCCCTGATGAACCCTCACCAGACACTGAATGTTCTGGCACCTTAATCTTGAACATCTCTCCAGTCCTACTTACCACATACCCCTCTCCCACTCATTCCTACCCATTTCTGCCTCAGGCTGCTTCTGCACTTGGAAATTGTACCCCCTTGCCCTTTGCACCTGCTGAAATTCAGCCCAGTATAAATCTCACCTCACAAGGCTGTGCCAGACCACGCAGGCCACAACACAGCTGTCATCTTTTCCTGTAGTTTCAGAGATGCTTAAGGAAAGTTTAACCAGTGAGTTAATGGATTCCTATGGTAATTGCTATGGACTAAAACTATCCATCCAACCATGAGCCTGAGCTCACCACACCCGGTTGCCAGCATTGCTTTATGCATGACCTAGAATGTGTGGGGTCAGCTACATACAAATGGGAGCAGGGCTGCACCCTCCCAGGACCAGGTGACCAGAGGTGTTTAAGCCACTCTAAGATGAGCAGCACTCACATGGCTCATCACCATCCTCTACTCCCAAAGTTGTGCTATAAGGTGCTTGAGACATTGAAAGCTGAGTCTAAGTGCCAGAGGTCTCCTAGGTCCTATTGCTGTGCATGGCTATGCACCCTGCTGAATACCTCTTCTTAAAATCAACTAAACTTGTATTCCATGAATGTGTTGAGTCTAGTGAGTGTGTCTGACAATCTGAACCTGAAACCATACCCATGATCTTACACCTCTTCACCTCGATCCTAAGCTTTGTGAAGACTGGGACATTTTGAATCTTTCTCTTTCTTGGTTCATAAAGTACCTCATACAGTATTTTAAAAATAATTTATAAAATGTCTCATAAAATATTTATGAAATAAAATAAATAAATATTTCACAAACATATCATGAATATTTCAAAATATTTCATAAAATATCTCATGCAGTATTTTTAAAGTAATGATAAACAATACTTCCTTTTATTGGCAACTAATGGGCAAAATATTGCTCTGAGGACTTTGCATACAGCATCTCTCACCCCTCATCAAAATATTATCATGTGTGTTTTATAGATAAGAAACAGATGTTCCAAGACCAACGCATCTATCCTTGTACGGGAGGTTTATAAAATGGTGGATTCATAATCAAGTGCACTCTGACTTCCAAGGTGATCTTTCTAGTGTACCATCCCATCTTTCCTGTGGAGAGTCTCTAAAAAAATATTTGTCAAGTGACCGACGACCATACTTAGTAGGTGGTTGATTACTATTTGATATTATGTGAATAGTAATTCACAAATGACCATCAGGGGATGCCGCTGGCTGCATGGCGATCTCCAGAGGGGCTCAATCCCATCCTCTAAAGAGCCACTGAGCCACCAACATGTGTCAGAGTCAGCAGTGCAAGTTGGGGTCCGGAAGTTGGCAGCCAGGCTTGGCAGGTGGCTTCTCCTAGGCCAGAGGCAAATCTAGAGATTTGTACATCAGGTAAGGTGTGAGGGTGTGGTATCAGATTCCTGATAACTCAGTTGTTCTACCCCAACCCTATTTTTCACTCACCAGCTACTACCTCTGGCTCTTGGGAGGGCCTCCACTTACCTGTAGCAATTGTTATGGAATTTGTTATAAGAAGAAAGAGTGATCAGACCTCCCCATGCGGCAGATAAAGAGAAGAAAATCTGAGTGGCAGCATCTTTCCACACCTGGAAGGCCAAAGGAGAGAAGAGTCAAGGTCACTGAAGGAGACTGGCTTTGGGGGAGGGGCCATCTTACATGCCCAATGGCACATCATCTTCCCAGGGAAAAGGCAGACAAGGCAAGATGGCATTGGACACCAACATAAATGAGAAATATATCTCACTTGTGCCAGTAAATTACCTGAGAGATTTTTAACTTCCTCTAGTCAAAAGTGAGGAACCTGATAAGCCATAGGCACATCTCATGCTCGTATTTCCCACCACATAAACCCAGACGTAAGGGGAGAGCCCTTTCTTTGGGAGAACAATTTACAACAGCAAAATATAGTCATAAAAAGCCTTTTAAGTTGATATCACTATGGATTACAACAACTGCTATTAAAAACCTGAAATTCTATGACCCCCGGTGGTAGTAGAGAAAACCCAGTGCCACAAGAGAGTGGACCTCACAGTGCCACATCCTTCCTGAGCTCGGCTGATGCCACATCTTGGTTCTGTTAGGTAATTCCTCTTGATTGTCTTCATAAAACTCCAGGTCACTCAAGAGTTCAAGCTATAGCCTTATGTGATTTATATGGTAGGTTTCCTATCATCTGTGTAAATTAAATTCTGTTTTTAAATTGTGCTTATCAGCACAAAGAAAGTTCAAGTGCGTGCTGGCAAAGTCTGCACCTGCCTCAACATTCACTCCTCCATGTCCTCCTAGAAGCAAAGTTGTGATTTGATTTAAGGGCATCTGTATGTCCAGCTTCCCCACCTAGGGGAAGAAAATAACATGACTTTGTTTCTGGCCAAATGTCCGAAAGTAAATTGTTATGTTGGACTTCTGGGGCTTCTCCTCTTTAAATGAAGAGGGTGCTTTTCTCTACCCTTACCCTTTGCCTGGAATGCTGTTATGATGACTGGAGCTCTAGCAGCTATATGGATGCTGATCATTGAGGATGGTAGGGCAGAAAGAGAGGAACCTAGTCTCTGATGACACCAGGGGGTCACTCAACAGGTCCTTGACTATCACCATAGTGCATGAGGAACAAATAAATTATATCTTGTTTAAACTGATATTAGATGGAGATTTTTCTGTTATGTGCAGCCAAATTCCATCCTAGCTATGTGTTTTTTAACATACTCTGAAAAAGCAGAGCTTTCTTTAAAAAATTCATCTCTCATTAAACAATCACCCCCTCATCTGGGGCTCTGGGGACTGTGAATTTTGAGTAAGATGTGCCTGTACTTAACACGCAAAGGGAAAGGTCAAGCATGTATGCATCTTCTGTGTGTGTACAAGAAGTGTTCAAATGTGTCTGTGGCTTTTAAAGCAACAGAACTGCTTGCAGTGTACCCAAGTGCTGTTATGTTCCAACCAGCAAAAACATATGCACTATGATTCATAACAAGTAAGTTGTGTGAGGTGGCCCAGAGCTACCAAAGGGATTTCATTCTTAATTATCAGCCTTTGTCCAGCTATAGGACAACTCTTCCAGGAATCTGAAAATCCTCAGCTACCTACTTCTCATTAAATATTTCCTGAGCACATAACGTGCCAAGATTATCAGGGGCTTGTAGAAGCAGACAGTGAGATTCTCTGAGGGAGGAGATCTGACCCTTTATGCCAAACCCCATCCCAGGGAGACCCATCCCTGAAGGCTCCCCCCCACCCAGGGTCCACTATAAATGAAACAGTGAGCCCACCGTGGCATCTGTGAGTTTCTCCCACTTGGGTGTGATGAAGTACCAGATCCCAGCTCCAGCTCCAGGCAGGGTGACTCCTCGGATGAGGAGGATCACCAGCACAACATAGGGGAATGTGGCCGTGAAGTACACCACCTGGAAGAGCCACGGGCAGAGGGGCAGAATGAGCACACCTGCAGCAGACTGTCACCCAGGCACATGGGCCTGCCGTGAGTTCTCCCCAAACTCTGCCAGGGCTGGGGGCACAGGGAGAGGACGAGGACCAAAGGTGAGTCAGAGAGGGCCAGAAATACAGCCTCCAGGGCTGGGGATATAGCTGAGTTGGTAGAGTGCTTGCCTCACATGCACAAGGCCCTGGGATCAATCCCCAGCACCAAAAAAAAAAAAAAAAGAAAGAAAGAAAGAAAGAAAGAAATACAGCCTCCAGAACACCCAAGGCTGCGAGGTGTGTCAGCCTGGAGTCAGAGGGCTTGGCGGGGGGAGATGTCACTCTGCCCAGCCTCTGAGTGGACAACTTCCTGAGGAACCTCAAGGGAAGAGGGGAAGGCTTTATAACCTCCCTTCCCCAAACTCCCACCCCACTGCCTGGTGATGGCCCTCAACTCTCCCATTAGAGATCAATGTTCCCCCTGCTCCCCGCTTTGGTACTGGAGACTGAACCCAGGGATGCTTTGTCACTGAAGGACATCCCCAGTCCTTTTTATTTTTTATTTTAAAACAGGCTCTTGCTAAGTTGCTGAGGCTGGCCTTGAACTTGTGATTTGCCTGCCTCAGCCTCCCTAGTAGCTAGGATTGCAGGCATATGCCACCCATTCCAGGAAGAGGACTCTTTTTAGCTTAAGCCTCTATCCCTGCCTATGCAGACACCTTACATGTGACATCCCAGTGAGGTAAAAAGACCCACGAGGCCTTAGATTTAGACACATTTGGTTCAGGTGAAATTGAACCTCTAGTACTAAGTAATTATATGACACTGGACAAGTTACTCAGTTCTCTGAATCTCAGTTACTGTGGACAAAAGTACCTTTCTTACAAAAAACTGTGAGGATTAAATGAGCTAATGCTTGGATAGCAGCTGGCCTGCACCTGATCTATAACAAACAGATGGTCACTAGATACAGTGAAGTTCAACAGGCATTTGTTGAGGGCCTCCTACCCACTGGCTAGCATGTCAGGCATTTGTTGCCTAAAGATGAAGAGGCCTACAATGTAGAAGACCTAGAGACAAGGTCTGAATAACAGGCTAAGCAGTTATACACAGGACACTGCAGAAGGCCAGGGAAGGGCACTGTGTCAGTCTGGGAGTTTCTAAAAGATTTCTGGAGATGACTCTGAGCTGGATCTTAGAAGATGAGTGTGACTTCAAGGTAGGAAAGCAAGGTCGGAAGGTGAAGGGTGAAAGTGGGCAAGGCAGGTGTGAGAGGGCAAAGCACTACTCACTCTTAGAAGAGCATAAAGTTGGGGCTGAGAGTGGAGAAAGGAGAGGATAGTGACACTGGAGTGACCGTGAGTGTCCCAGAGTACAACGGTGGGTTCTGGGAGTGGGAAACAAGGATCAACAAGCATTGGGAGGTAACATCAGCAGAACTTAGGGACTTGTTGGATGGGGATGTGTTGGAGGTACTTTCCTTCCTTACCTGTCAATCAAGCCTCAGGGTAAGGAAGGGCTTGGGATCAAGATGGTAGATGGGGAAGAGAGCAGACTGTATTAGCTCAGGCTCTCGGGTCACACGGGCCTGACTCCACCACTTATAATCTGGGTCACCTTGAAAAGTGACATAAGCTCTCTGAGTCTCAGTGTCCACACTGCAAGGTGGTGTTCCCAGTACGCTCCTCACAGGGCCACTAAAAGAGGATATTGGAACAATCCATACAAAGAGTACGGACCTGAAGCACTAGAAACAAAAGTGCCACTTCAGAGCCTGGCCTAGAACTCGCCAGTCCTAAATTTAACAACACTAAGAACCCTTAGCTCACAAGCAGGCTGTATCCCAAAAAATGTATCATAAGATGCTTGGTGGAATGAGAGCCCACAAAAGTCCTCTCTTATCCACGGGTGGGCGTTATAGCTGAAGGAGTACTGTTGGCTTAGAGCCATCTCCTTTCCTCCTGCATCTTCTATCCTGGAAGGGCTCCTTCTAACTAGAACACTGGCCCCTGTGAGTGGGAGCAGAATTCTTGACACACACCGGCTGTATAGACTCTAGTACCTGGCTGGGGGCTCCAGCCTGGCAGCTAGGGAAAGGAACTGAGATTTCAAGGGATGAGGACTAATATGGAAACTTCAAAAGAGATGGATTGGGAAAGGTTAGAGTCCTGGGGTCATTTCCTTTATTCAAATAAACAAACAAATATATGAATACATAGGACAGGTAATATGAGCCATGCACAGTTATGCATCTGGGACATATCAGTAAACAAAGCAGGTGATACATCTATTGGAGGAAAAATAGAGCAGAAAAAGGAGACAGGCATACTGGGTGAATGGTTAGGAAAATGGCCATATTAAAATGGGTGGCCATAGGCTGGGGATAGAGGGCAATGACAGAGCACTTGCCTTGCATATGTGAGGTCCTGGGTTCCAATACCACCAGCAAAATGAAACGGGTGACCAGGGAAGGCTTCATTGAGAAGTGAATGTGAGCCAACCAGGTGTCTGGGAGAGCATGCTAGATAGAGGAAAGAGCTGGAATAATGGTTCTAAGAAGGGCAGATGTGTGCCCTATAGGGCTATCAAGGAGGCTGGCCTGGAACATGAGAGGAGTAGGGGAGAGGAAGCCTGCAGACAAGGCAGAGAGGAGCAGGTCGCACAGAGCCAGATGAGCCCTTAAGGACTCTGGTTTTCACTTTGTGGGAGAAGGAAGGCTGCAGCAGGGGTTGGGCAGATTAGTAACATGATGTCATATTTTTAACAGTGTCACCTTCTGCAGATACTGCCAGGAACAAGGGAGGGGCAATAACAGGAGGAAACCTGTCAGCAAACCAAGCAAGGGATGGCGATGGCTCCCCCAGGAGATCAGTAGAGCTGATAAGAAACCATCAGACTGGACATGATTTCAAGGAGAGCCAAGAGAATGTCCTGTACATCTAATGTGAGAAAAAGAAGAGTCAAGGATGACTCCAACATGTTTGGTCTCAGCAAGTGAAAAGGGGAAGTTATTTTTGATGCTAAACCCAATTTCTCAAGGCCAACCCCTTGCTTTCTAGCTGCAGACCCAGGGACAGGCTGGCCTCTTCACCTCTCCACTGCCACCACCAGGACAGGATGCCTCTTCCCTGCCCCCACAGGACAGCAGTCTCACAATGCTAGGGATTGTGGGCAAGAGACAGCAGCCAGCTCCCTCCTATTCCTGCAAACCTGCTTCTCTCTTCCCCTTAAAGGGTGAGAGAAAGTGAAACCTCTGGGCACAGAGATGTTACAAAACCCAAGGACATCTGACATCTCAGGAGAAAATCGCCCCACCCCGGGCTGGTGCACCTGCACTCTCAGCTGTGAGACAGGACTAGAGGGAGGAAAGGCCACCAACCAGGGATGGCCTTTTCCAGTCTGACTTCCAACATCACCCCAAGACAATAGTGGCAGGGGACGCTGCAACTGAGGAGCCTGCAGGGGGAAACGCCAAGACTCCCCCCAGCCTAACCAGCTGAGGGCTGTTCCCATTTGATTGTGGACAATGTTCAGACCCCGCCACGCCTGGAGTTCTGCCTATGGACCAGATACATGAGTCCCATTTCGCAGAAAAGAATACCTCTCAGGTCTTGGTGACCTGAGAGGGCTGACAGATTGGTTTATAAATCCTGAGGATGCCTCAAACACAAGAGAGGTGTCCACGGAAGCTTCGTGCCCAGTTCATTCCCTGTGTTGGGGAAACTTGAGAATGTAACTATTTCAGGATATACTGTCAGAGGAATTAAACTTGAACAATAATGAATTATACTTGGCAGGAGTGACTGACTAGTTGGTCTCAGTCTGTCGGCCTGAATCCTTGAGGCATCCTCCTCACCACAGGGTCCCTGAACAGGTGGTACGGCCGCACGAGCTAATTAGGTGAGCTTTGCTCTGTTGCCATAACTTTCAGGAAGAGCAGCCCCTGCGGTCAGATGGGCTGTGCTTGACCTTCAAGCTGCCTGCTGGTCGCCCCTGTCTCTAGAGCTCAAGCTGCTCAAAGGCTTTGGTCTCAGAAGAAGCAACCAACCATTATTGTCTCCTCAGGTCCTAAATAAGAGGAACTGAGTTTATTGTGCTACAGGAAAGGAAGGACATCTCTGTGGCATAGAAATGACTGTGCTGGGGGAATTTCAGTCACAAAGGAGTTTGCCATAATGAGCAGCTTCAATCATGCCATTCACCTTGGTTCTCAAATAATTTTCAGGATTAATATCTGTACAACCCAGGCCAGGATAATAAATTGTGGTTCATTATTTCTGGTGGTATCCCACATTGAAAAAAAAATAATTGATCATTGATCTTTGGTCAGAAAACTTCCTCAATAAAGAGGGGATAAGTTAGCAGATCTAAAGAAAATAAAAATCTGCTCAGGACTTACTAAAACATCCTCTCCTAGAAAGGCTACAAAATTCAGCATCAAGGAAAAAAATCTGAATTGGCTGGAAGAACTGATTAAAAGGCATTCCAAAACAGCACAGAAGAGCAAGGCTTAAAAGAATCCTAGCGAATGTTTACTCAGGCCCTTGACTTTGCAAATGAGAAAAGTAAGGTCCAGATACATCCTGGGATTTCCCAAGTCACACGTTGAACTGCAGACACCAGAGAGGAGTGTGAGGTCCTGACCCACAATGGGAGGAAGATGGATTTTCCCAATTCACATTTCCCACCAGCAGTCCCTCCTTGAAGAGAAGGCCAGATAGAGTCTAAGCCTCATAGCAAGACAGACTTGGGTTCAAATTCTAACAGCCGTGAAAGACTGTGACCTCAGGCAATTTGGTCTCCCTTGATGAGCTTATAAAATGGAACCAATGTACTTACCCCAGCAGGGGGTTGTGAAAGTTGAATGAACAAATGCTTGTGCAACTGTCAACATAGTGCCTGGCACAGATGTTGCACAAAACTCCATTTCTCTTCCCATTTCCCCCAAAACAGCACTGTTTTTGAGATGCCACCGTGGCACAAGACCCCCTTAATACATAGACATTTATAATAATAAAAATGAAAAGAGGGGCTGGGACTCTGCTCAGTGGTAGAGCGCTTGCCTAGCACGTGGGAGGTCCTGGGTT